TGGCCAGCTCAGCCCACCAGGGGGCGGGGCTGGCTGGCATGTGGTGCTGGGGGATTGAACCGCGGTCCCTGTGCTTTGCTTGGCTTAGCTTGTTCTAAGTAGGTGCTTTAGACCACTGAGCCATCATCTCACCAGCCCTTCATTTGTTTCTAATAACAATATTTGTCTTAAAGTCTATTTTGTCAGATGGTACTCCAGCCATCGTTTAGTTATTGCTTGCACAATTTTACTTGCAACAGCTGTATGTCTTTACGCTTGTGTCTTATAGGAGGCACATGATCACTTTTTTTTTTCCATTTTGCCAATCTTTGCCATCTAAGAGGTATTTAATTCACTTAGATTTATTGACGATTTTGTTAGTTTCCCATTTGTTGATTTATAAAACAATTTAATCTGTACTGCTTTAGCTTACTTCCAAAAATGCTGCTTCTCTATAGGGCTCTTCTTTATGCTATTGTTGTAAAAATTTACATCTTTATACATTGTGTGTTCATCAATATATATTTATAATTATTGGTCCATGCAGTTATCTTTTAAAAGGAGTTACAGAAAATTTGTATATGTGCACCCCTGTTCTGCTTAGCACATTAGGCTAAGCCTGGCTATTCATAATGGAGCTGAAGCAACACAAACATTTAAGCAAGGCTTTATTTAATGTTTCTATTCTAAAAAAGTGAAAAACACAGAAGATGAGCTACAGTAGATCATTCGTCTAACATAATTTGCCTTGCTTTACAGGGTTCCTGGGGGCTATGGCTGTTTTGAAACCTGGTGTAATTTGTGTGTGTGTGTGTGTGTGCGCGCGCATGCGTGCTCTATGTACCATTTTAGTGTCTTATCTCTTATCTAAAAATCTGGTCTGAAGAAAGGATGACAAGTTGAAATAGCATTTTACCAGTTTAGAATGAAATATTGGTTTTCCTTTAGAGGTCTCCTCACATTTTATTTATAATCCAATTACAGAACAGATTGTTTAGGTACCATGTATGTGACCTAGTGTCAAGTATCTCTTTTTTAATTGGTGTATAACATTCACAAGGACTTTGTATCTGTACATAGTAAATCTTGCTTCTTTTTTTTCCTATTCCCCTCCCCTTTCTTCAACCCATCTGCTTTTCTGTATTTACCAAATTTGGTTTCCATCTATTCTCTTTTACCTTATCTCGTCCCTCCTTTCCCCTCCTTCCTCTCTTGTTCCCACTCTTGCTTGAACTTTTTCTTCCCATTTCCCAATGTCTGTTACACATTTCGGTCCTTATTTGCACTTTTGGTTTCTTACACCAGAGAAGTGATGCAGTATTTACACATGTGTGCCTGATTTATTTCACTTAACAATATGGTCTCAAGGTCCTCACACCCTTTTAATTTGGGTTGCTGACTTTGGTAATGACTCTCTCCTTCCACATTAACAAATAACATGGCAGTCACCGGGGAGTTTCCCCCTTCAGTAGGACTCTTATTTCAGACAGTATACAGCTGTCCTCTGAATAAGGGCTCTCCAAGACATCCAAGTAGGTTTGTTCAGTTAACCAGTGTCATAAAACTCAGGGCTCGAGTTAAGGATTTGAGATTTATCCTGATAGTAGTAATTAAGACACGGAAATGGCTGAGATTAAAAGGAAAATATGTTTTAAAAAGAGTCTAGAAAATAGTTTGTTAATAAATACAGAATTAGTGAATGGGCAGATGGATACCTGAATGACTACTAATAGTTCCTCATTCATTTTGCTGATCCTTTTCAATATTGTGCAGACTGAATTCTCAGTTTTTTTAGAGACCAATTCAAAGTAAAGCTCTCTGATCCCTTTTTAAAGGCAGGTTTAAAACAAAATGACTTAATGACCTAAGGAAATTAATAAGTATGCTAATTTTTTTTCATCAAATACCTTATGAATAATGAATGAACTAGTCCCTTTTGGAAACTTCCATGGTTTATAACTGATTATAGGAAAAATAATTTTTTAGCATGACATATGCAAAGGAGAAATTACTTTTAAGTATAGTATCTTTAAGATATTTAAGTATAATATCTTTAAGAGGTATAACTTTGTGTTATAATTATTCTCAGAACTTCAACCTAGACATGGTCTGTCTTTCTCTTTTTTCTGTTTTGGAAACACAATGCCTTTGCACTGAGTGACACCACTCTCCTTTAAAATTTTGAGACATGGTCTTGCTAACTTGCCCAAGCTGGCCTCCCAGTTTGTAACTCTTGTATCAGCTTCCTCTGTGCTGGGATGACAGACGTGTGCCCCATACATGGGTCAATAATGTGCAACTCTTATAGCGAATAAGTTAGTTGAAATAAGATGCTTAGAGAATTATGTAAATAGGGAAGAGATTTTTTCTTCCTAGTATTGTATATTGAATTCCTCCTTTTCTTAGAGACAAAAATCAGTATTTCTTATCATCAATTTACTGATGTCATTGAAGTAATGTAGAGAGCAGCAGAGGTCAGTGGGAAGGGATATTAGGCATGTAACCAGGTTTATTTAGTATGGGTTAATGAACTGTAGATAGTGACTTGGAAGGAGAACATCTAGAGATTAGAGTAAAAAACAGATTTTGGAGAGGAGAATAATTATTTTAAGACTTTTATTTTGTATTTAGGATAGGGTATGCAGGGTGTACAGGGTCTCACTGTGTAGATCGGACTAGTAGTGATCCTCCAGTTTACAGCCTCCCAAATGCTGGGATGACAGGCACGCACCACCATGCCCAGTCTCAGTTGCTGGCTCAGTGAGTCCTGGGGGTGGGACCAGCACTGCAGTCCAGAGGATTGAACTCTGGGCCCCTGCATCTGGCTAAGCAGGCACTTTAATCTGCTGAGCTATTTGGCTGGCCCTAGGAGAATAATTATTAAAAGGTGCTTTTTTTTCTAGACAGTAAGGGACAAGAAAGAGAAGACTTGTTATAGAGGTTTTAGGGGGAAAAAACCTCATTCCTACTTAGGCTGTTCTTTGAAGCTCATCCCCTAGTGTCTTTCTCTTTTATTTGAGGTTGAATAATATCTGGGCATGGTAACAACAGAGTAACCCCATCTAGTGAGGAGGGGTTGTGATTCCATGCAGGGAGAGGTGAAATGCAGAAGCAACGGCAAAAGCCACAAGCAGTGTTGCACTGCAGACCTGCTGGGGAAAGAAATCATGTTGAAAAGACCATAGAGGATCATGGCCTTTGAAGGGGAAATAATAATCACCTTTATTGAGTACCTGTCTTATGTGTTTAAACAGTATTATTCCTACCATAGTTAACAGATGGGACTGACCCAGGTACTCCAAACCCAAACCTCAAGCAATTATTATTATTTTTTTAAACATTTATTTATTTATTTATTTATGTGTGTGTGTGTGTGGCCAGCTCAGCCCACCAGGGGGCGGGGCTGGCTGGCATGTGGTGCTGGGGGATTGAACCGTGGTCCCTGTGCTTTGCAAAGCTTGTTCCAAGTAGGTGCTTTAGACCACTGAGCCATCTCACCAGCCCCTCAAGCAATTATTTTGAAACACTTTTTTTTTTAATCTGAAGTCCCTTCCCCCTGAAATCTTAATGTGGAACACTAAATAAAACTGATAAAGTTGGCACTGAAGCCAGGCCACTCAGCTTCCTTGACTTTTTCAATTTTATTCTCCTGGAAAGCTCTGAAGTATTTCTGGAACTGCAGTGTGGCAGTCACTGCACTTCACCTTATTGCTGTTCTCTGTGGCTTGAATATGTTGGTTGAAAGTTACTTGAAGAACATCCTCATTTGCCTTCTGTTTGGTGTTAGCCTGGCAGGTTGTTTCATGAAAAGGTTATTAATGGAGGTGATCCCATATACCTGAACCTATGTTTGTAGTCAGCATCTTTTGTCAAAAATGCATATTTAGAAATTTTCTTTTCCTTGTCTTGAAGGTTATGGCAGTACTGCCTGAAGAAATGAAACTGGGCCCTGATCCCTATGGTTTATCTTGGGAATTGGTGATAGGGGCAGCTATTGTTGGTGTTTTTGCTGTTCTCTTATTTTTATGGAGAAGTTTTCGATCTGTAAGTAACCAATGTGTACTAAGAGAATGTTTATTCTGTGTCTAAATATTTTTTAAAATTAAATTCTGGTACCAAATACATTTTAAAGAATGAATTGATAGGAGATATGGTTGTACTAAATAAAAATTATTACACTAAAGACATGTTGCCATTGACTTCCCTCAATATACTCCCTCTCACTTTGATCATACTCATCCCATCATTCTTGCCACTTTCCAAAACAGTTCTGGAAGTTCTCTTTTGTGAGTGTCTTTAGTTGCGCTGTTGTGGTTGCCTTGATGCCTTGTATAGATTCAAAATACCTTTCGTGGTAATTTTGACTTTGGGACACAACTAGAAGTCATGATGAATAAAGTAGACAAGGACTTACCATAATATTTTCATGAGCTTGGCCTTCTATTGGAAGACCCTCAGCAGCAGTGTTCACTTAAGTTTTCATCATATGTCATAAAGACCTGAAAGAGAACTTCCAGGATGACTTCAGAAAGGGCTAAGACAATGGGCTAACTATGTTGGAAATGGGTAGAAGAATTTTGACAGGAATTAATGGCAATGTGGCTTTACTGCAGCAGATTTTAAAATTTGAATGTTCACCATATATTTTGATCTTGAGAAATTACTTTCTTCCAAGAATAAGTTATCTGCTTATTTTGATGAAACTGATTTTGGAACATTTTTCAACTCATGACATTTAATAAACAACACTTTGTCTTCTGAGGAAAGAAAATAAATAAATAAATAAAATTAAATTTTGCCTTTAGACTAAACAAATAGTAATATGAGAAAACCTTGCTGTTTTTTCATTTTGTGTCTGGTGATATGTAGTAGTACCAATGTAATTCTTACTCATTTGTAAGATTTTTTTTTCGTGATACTGGGAATTGATCCTAAGGCCTTCACACTGAGTTATATCTTCTGCCCTTTTCATAATATTTAATATTGAGACAGAGTCTTGCTGTGTTGCCTGGGCTAGGCTTGAGTGTGATCTTCCTGCCTCCCAAATACTGGGATTATAGTAACATACCTCTGTGCCTGCCTTTCTTCCTTGTTAAACTTCTTTTGTGGGGGCTGCCTGATAGTTTAGCGGATTAAAGTGCCTGCTTAGGCAGAATACAGCGGCTGGGGTTCAATCCCTGGTCTGCATGCCAGCCCCGCTGGTGGGGTGTGCTGAGATGGTGATTGAGACTGGGTGTGGTGGCATGTACGTGTAATCCTAGCACTTGGGAGGCTGAAAACAGGAGAATTACTATGAGTCTGATCTATATAGTGAGACCCTGTACACCCTGTACTAAATACAGGAAGAAAAAACACAACGTCTTTTGGTCTCTTTTTGGAGCTATTTGTTTTTAAATTTTGGCCCTGTGCTCACTTCCATATGTCTTAACTTTTATTTTTCAGTTCCTTTGTGAGCTTCTGTTACCTTTTTAATTTCCCAGCGTGATGTTCCAGTTCCCAAATTTCCTGTTCATCCATACAATTCTACTGTACTTCTCTTTTAAATGTTTTGTTAATTGTACCTCCATGTATAGCTTATAGGTGATTTAAGTCCTTTGTCTTTTCTACTTGGTTGTGCTCCCTCAGCCCCCAAACTGATCCTTTTACAATTGAGTTACTCCTTGATTATTTGAGAGAAAACTTAGAGAAGAAAAAGTTTGGTTATGGTTTCTTTAGAGTAAGTTCAGGTCTATAGTCTTTAAATATTTTTTGAAATTTATTTATTTGATACAGGTCTTGCTACACAGTTCAGACTTGTACTGCTCCTCCTATCTCAGCCTTCCCAGCACTGGGATTACAGGTGTACCCATGGCTGGTTTCCAGCCGGCATGGTACACCTGGGGGGTCATGGGCCTGCACAGCATGCAGTAACTGGGATCGAACTAGAGACCTTGTGCTTGCCAGGCAGGTTTTAGGCCACTGAGCTATCTCCCCAGCCCCAGATCTATAGTCTTATGGCAACATTTCTTAGACTTTTATTTTGGTTATTAGGGATGTGATAATAGGGACTTTTGAAATAGTTTGTTTTAGGACCAAATACATTTAGGAAACTGGGTTAAATGAAATAAAACCTATATCTTTACACCAAACTGATTTTAGAGTCTTTATCATGGTCATGTACAGTGTGAATCATTGGTAAGGACTGTAACATTCTCCTTGGAAATAGAACACTTTGGGTTGACTTATCATATTCATAGTAAAGCAATAAGAAATCTGTTGTTATTTTTATGTTACGAATAGAAACTAAAGAAGTTAGAGTTACTTGAGTGTACTTGTTTTAATGTAATTTTTGTTAAAAATGTGTTTCAGGTTAGCCGCCGCTGTTACGTGGGTAAGCTGATTTTGTATTTTATCCTATTGTGCACAATTTTAAGTATTGTAATTTATTTATGATATATGTATATATTTATATCTGTTGTTCTTTCTTCTAGGGAGAGAAAAACAGCTTGCTATAAAGCTTTCTGAACTAATTGAAGAAAAATGTAAACTACTTGAAAAAGTTAGCCTTGTTCAAAAAGAGGTAGGACATGGTTGAAAATAATATTCATATTAGAGCTAGGGAACCTTGCACTTCTCTATGTAGCTACTTCTATGTAAATTTGTTATTAATACTTTGCCGAGTTTTCAGGTTCTGTCACTCAACTTCAGTGCTTACCTCATCTTACTAGCATTAGTGATTGTGATTGTGATAGATATAAGGTGCTTTCTCTGCCCTTTCAGTTTGTGTTATCTCAACTAAGAAGCTCAAACATCTTTCTGTGTTTATTGCCCATGTTGTTTTTTTTGTGAAGTTGGCCTTTTGAAGTTATTTTCATAAGGTATAGTTACCTTTTTTCCTTTTTATTATGTGGTATCTTCTGTGTTTCTAGTCTAAGGAAATATTTGCCTCTCCTAGTACAGTGATGCATATTGTAATCCCAGCTACTTTGGAAGCTCAGGCAAGAGGATTGAAAATTCAGAGCAAGACTGGGCTTCAAAAAAGAAAAAAAGAGCGAGAGGAAGGGAAAAAAAAGCTGAAGATTGTAAATGAGTGGTTGTTTCTCTGCAGAATTGTGCATCTATGAAAGCAATCAACTTTCTTTTGGTGGGGGGTGGTGTTGGGAATTGAACTTAAGACCTGGTGCTCGCTAGGAAGGTGGTTGTACTGCTGAGCTATAGGCCCAACAATCAACTTTTGAGTCTTTATTATCCTCCAAAGAAACTATAGACCCCTTAATTAATGCTCTTTATCCAATTTGTCCTACTTCAAATCTCTGTAATGATTTATTTACATTCAATTTCTATAGATTTTCCTTTTGTAGATACATCACGCAAATGGAATCATACAGTTCATGTTCTTTTTTATTGTTTTTTTCTCTTAGCATGATGCTGAACAAAAAAGAAACCACTTCACTCTGAGGCATATACTCAAAAGAGATACTGTTTTGTTCATGTTACATAACTAGAATTAATTTCTTCTTTTTTCAAATAATGTTACTTTTTGTTTGTTTTGAATTTTGGATTATTTTTTGTAATTTTCTGAAGAATGCCATGAATTTTGATAGGGATATCTTTGAATTTATATATTGGTTCTCTTTCTATTTATTTTGTCATTTTCTTTAATCATTGCTTTTTAGTTGACAATGTGTACGTTCCTTTATGTCCTTGGATAAATTCATTCCTAAAACTCTTTTTGATGTACTTAGAAACTGAATTGTTCTTGATAGCTTTTCCAGATAATTTAGGTTAAGAAATTACACAAATTTTGTATGTTGATTTTGTAGTCTATGATTTTATTGAATGTATTAAAGTTATATTCTTTTGATGTAGTCTTTGGGGTTTTCTACATGTAGCATCATCCCTACAAATAGATCATTTCTCTTCTTCCTGTCTGATTTGAATAGCTTCTGGGTCTTTTTCTTCTAACCAGGTTTTATTGGTACATTTAGATATGTGTAATGATCACATTTATGATAGAGAATTTGTACCAGTACATGATGGAATGTTTTCCCATTCCACTACCCACCCTTCAGCCCCTCCTTCCTTCCCTGTTTAGAAAAACTTTGTTTCCATTTTTTTTAATTTGCTTTATTTTCCTCCCCATTTCAACATTTTCTTCCTGTTTCACAATACCTCTTATGTATTTTGTTTTGTTTTTCCATAATTTTATTGAGAAACAAATAGCAATGAGACAGTTTCAAACCAAATTGGTAGGACAGTTTCAATAATTAATACATTGCATACATTCTTCCTAGTGGTTAATTGCTGTACAAGATGCGGACTTGATCCTGTTATATATTTTGGTCCTTATCTATACTTTTGGTTTCTCACACCAGAGAAACAATGTGATATTTACATGTGTGTCCTAGTTATTTCACTTAAGAGAATGGTCTCGATCTTAACCTTCTTATGACAGTAGTATTCCATTGTATAAAAAACCCACATCTTCCTTATCAATTCACCAGTTGATAAGCATTTGGGCTGTTTCCAAGATTTGAGTATTACAAACTGCTGCTTTAAAAATGGGTGTGTTTACATTGCTGATAGCTTCAGCTTTCAGCTCTGTTGCTTTTTTTTTTTAAATTTTTTAAAAATTTTATTTATTTAATGTGTTTGTGTGTGGCCAGCTCAGCCCACCAGGGGGCGGGGCCTGCTGGCATGTGGTGCTGGGGGACTGAACCACCGTCCCTGTGCTTTGACTAAGCTTGTTCTAAGTAGGTGCTTTAGACCACTGAGCCATCTCACCAGCCTCTCAGCTGTTTCAAAAGAGGAAATATTAGCTGGGTATGGTAGTGTGTGTCTGTAGTCCTAGCATTTGGGAGGTTGAGGCATGAAGGTTGCTGTGAGTTCCAGGTCAGACTGAAGTACACAGTGAGACCCTGGCTCAAAACACATGGTTATTTTTTCTCCTGGTACTGGGGAATGAATGCAAGGCTCAGGCTGTACTAGGCATGTGCTGCACTAGTGAGCTATAATAAATCCATAACCACACTGCTTCTCTTTTGTAAGGTTTCTTGGGATTATATTGGGTTCATCAGAATAATCCTGGGTGTTATCTCTATCTCAAGATTCTTATCATATGTGGAAATTTTAAGCAGTACAACATGGACATTTTGGGAGAGGATCAGTCAAGCATAGAGTCCTATCCTAAAGCCTGAGCTACTTGGCTCACCCTATACACAAGTCCTGAGCTCTTTTTTGTTTGTTTGATCTTCTCAGTTTTTGGTGCTGAAACGTTTGCTCAGTTTCTCATCTAGCAGCGTTTACTTTTGGGGCAAGAAGTGTCAAATGCAGGGTTTGCCTCTGGAGAATCCTTCCTTCTGATCAGTTCTCAGAGTTTGAATGAATGGCTCTATGAGGCCTGCATATAAATCATGTTTTTAGTTTCTATAAAAGATTGATTGATTGATTTTGGCGGAACCAGGGATTGAACTCAGGCCCTTATGCTTGCCAGGCAAGCACTTATTCTACTGAGCCATCTCCCCAGCCCATGTTTTTAGTTTTTTTTATTCCATTCTTCTTGTTCTAAGCATGAAGGGTTATTCAAAACAACCAAGTCTTACTAACTGCTTTTTGTTTGAAGTCTTGAGTTGCTTTCAGCATTGTGTATTTTTCATTTGTTGATGGTTGTTCTCTTGAGAGCTTGTTTGGAGGTTCTAGCAGGGGAGCGCAGCTACTCGTATACCCTTGACCGAGGAACGGTCCTCCTCTATCGGGGGTGGTCGTCCTCTTCGACCGAGCGCGCAGCTTCGGGAGGGACGCACATGGATCGTTGAGGGAGGAAGGGGACACCCGCCTAGCCAGCCAGATCAGCCGAATCAACCCTGGCGATCAATGGGGTGACAGATGTCGCAGCCAGATCGCCCTCACATCCGATGGTTGTTCTCTATGTTTTAAAAGAGTTTCTATTCCTTTCTTACTGCATTTATCATACTATAGGATTAAAAGTGAAAATTTCTGGCCCTGGGCAAACACCTGTAATCTGAGGCTGAGGCAGGAAGACTGAAAATTTGAGGTTAGCTTGGGTAATTTGACAATTTAATGAGAGCCTGTCTCAAAATAAAAAATAAAAAATAAACAGTAAACAGAGGACTTGTAGATGTAGCTAAGTGCAGAAACCCTGAGTTCAGTCCCTAGAACTGCCTCTCCAAATGAAGAATTCTGGTGGATAGTTACTATAGAATTCTCCTGTTGAATACTTAAAGAAGAGGTGTATATATACACAAAAATATACCCCTTTTGGGGTGATGGTGGTGGTACTGCGGATTGAACTCAGAGCTTTCACACTAAGCTACATCTCCTGCCCTTTTAAAATTTTTATTTATTTATTATTTATTTAAAATTTTTTAGGGGCTGGGAAAGTAACTTAGAGGATCAGTGCCTGGCAAACACAAGGTCTTAAGTGTGATTTCTAGTACCAAAAAAAGACAAAATTTTTCTTTCTTCTGGTTTTTTGAGATAAAGTCTCACTATATAGGTTAGGCTGGCCTTGATCTCGCCATGTAGCCCAGGTTGGCCTCCAGTTCAGTGATCCTCTTGCCTCATCCTTAGTGCTGGGATTCCAGGTGTGTGCCACCATGCCCAGCCCCTTTTTTATTTAGAGAGAGGATCTTGCTAAGTTGCCCAGGCTGGGCTCAAATTTCCCATCATTTGGTTTCAGTTTCCCAGAATGGGATTACAGCCACGTGCCACCATATCTGACTTCAAAAAATACACTTTTTGAATACGTGTTTGGATGATCTTTAATAGAACCTGTTTGTTAGAATTTTTACTTCCTTTTAAGTGGTGAATGCTCCAATGAGTTGTATTCTTGTGTGTTCCAAGAAGAGGACTTCTGATGGCTTTCTTAGTCTTCGTGCAGTTCTGTGAGATGTTCAAGTTAGTGAATTGTGGTGTGTTAGCTGCCCTGGCTTTGTTTGTGAGAATGATCAGATCTGACAAACGTAAAGCTAAGTAAATCCAAGCAAATTTAACATCCACGTGGAGATAGAGCTGTCTGCATTTCAGTGGCAGCCTAGATGAAATTTGGAGTATGACTTGTGATTTTGCTCCTGTCTTTCCTTGTTCCAGTGTGAAGGATTAGAGTCTTCATTAAAGGATGCCGGCTTTGAGAAGGAATCATCAGAAGCGCAAAGTCTGGAGGTAAAAAGTTGTGCAGCTTGAAAATCTGGGGAAAGATCTTATTAAGTAACAAACTTTAAAAGTAATGTATAGGGCTGGTGAGATGGCTCAATGGTCTAAAGCATCTACTTAGAACAAGCTTAACAAAAGCAAAGGGACCGCGGTTCAATCCCCCAGCACCACATGCCAGCCAGCCCTGCCCCCTGGTGGGCTGAGCTGGCCACACACACACACACACACACACACACACACACACACATAAATAAATAAAATTAAAAAAAAAAAAAAAGTAATGTATAGTCTCAAAACTATTTCAAAGAGGCTGGGGAAATAGCTCAGTGGCATAAATACCTGCCTGGAAAGTGTAAGGTCCCAAGTTCTAACCCTGGTATCACAAGCACAACAAAAAACAGCTATTTCAAACAAGTGTGCAAGAGCATCTCTGGATGTTAAAACATAAGGGAAAAGTAAGCAGAGATAGCAGAACATTACTAGATAGGATAAGATATTTAAAAAAAAATTGACCTCTTGTTGTTAACTAGTCTTGAGTGAGATATAGTTTACTGGAATCTGGACATGTTAGAGTTTTTTCATTCTTCATTCCTAAGACACGAATGAAGGTGTCTAGGCCTTTTTGACGCAGTTTTCTGTAGAGAGGGGAAATGGGATGCAATAGTCAGGAGTTTAGGGATCATTGGAAACACTAAGGTGTATAAATTGTGACAATATTTGCCTTCCCAAGAGAGTAGGAGCTAACTAGAATTAGGCCAGAGGTTTGTAAGTGGTGATGTTTTGGTAAATGTTTAGCAAGTGCTGTCTGAAGAGTGTTTGCTGAGTTCTGGGGTATAAATACTACTATGGGCAATTTCAAGCAACCAGCATGATGTCCCTGAATGAGAAGTGTGGAAGAGGTCTGCACAGTTGACTTTTTCCTACACTGATGTGATTCAGCAAATTGTAAAGAAGTATGGCAAGTTGTAATGCAGCTCAAGATAGATAGGTTAGTTAAGACTGTTTAGAGATCGAGAATTGTAAAAAGAAGAGTAGTAACAATGGATGTCTGTGCCACACGCCCATAATTCCAGCCTTTAGAAGCTGAGGCAGGAGGATCCCTGTGAGTTTAAGGCCAATCTGGGCTGTCCAGTAAGAGCTTGTCTCAAAAACAAAACAAAAGGTCCGGGGAGATGGCTCAGTGGAATAAGTGCTTCCCTGGCAAGGGCCTGAGTTCAATCCCCGGTTCCACCAAAAAAATAAAAAACAAAACAAAACACAAAAAAGATTTTTAAAAGGCATTTGGCATGCTAATAAGAGCAGTAACAGCATAGCAGATTTATTTACTGAAGCTTGGTGGTATTATGGATGAAGTACATCAATTTGCTGTCAAGCAATTTACATAGTCTAGCAACAAAATCAATGTTTAGCTGAACAGAACCTTTTGGAAAAGTTTCTCTAATTTATTACTTTTACTATTTACTTACTTATTTTATCTTTTTTTCTTTTCTTTTTTTTTATGCTGGATCTTACTATGTAGTGCAGGCTGGCCTTGAACTTGCTTGTGTAGTCCAGGCTGGCAGTGATTCTCCTGCCTCAGCCTCCTGAGTGCTGGGATTACAGATGTGTGCCACCATGCCTAATTTTAGTAATTTAAAAAACTTCTTTTTAGAAATAGAAATATAATTGAATGTGAACTTGAAGATGGTACGACTTTTACAAAGTTTGATGGTTGTATCTGTACATAAAAAACCAAACAATCCTAGACAATGAAGGGAAGAAGAGGTAGAGGGGAAAAGGAAATAAGTGGAATATAGATATGCCCCATACAGCAAGCTAGTGACCTCAATCAGTAGAAGCATCGGAGGTCCTAAGCATGAGCTAAGAGTAATAATATCAGGGAGAACAACAGTGGGGAAGGGGATTGATGGGGAGGGATGGAAGGGGACTAAAAAACAAGCTGTGTTGTGTACATGTGATTGTAAACGTGTAATGCAGACGTGTACTAATGACAACCAAGCAGCCAACAAACCAATAGAATTGTTTATAGAGTCAAGTCAGAGCATTCGTATAATGATAGAGTTTGATTTGAGGAAATTTTTGTAAATGAGTTTTTAATTACTATACTATCTTTTGGTTTATTATTTTTTTTAAAACAAGTTTGATGAAGGATCACAAATATCAAAGGTATGTTTATTAATAGTATTTATAATCCATTTGGAATAATCCAATAACAAATCACTTTTTTTTTTTTGGTACGAATCACTTTAAAAAGTTTATAGGAAATATAATTCAATGGGGACTATTGTTATAAAGCATTCTTAATTGTTTTTAAGTTTATTATTTATGTTTTTATATTAAATTAGATTTGTTTCTCATTTTTTCCTTAACATGCTTTTTAACATGCTTTAGATCAGAAGAAGCTGGCAAATTGCTTAGTAGATTTTTTTGCCCAATGATATGACAGAATATGACAGAGATTTTCTGGCCTTGAAGTCTGAAATATTTACTTTCTGACTCCTTATAGAAGTGTCACAACTACTGCTAGAATTGCTATTATTTTAATATTGTAAAAAGGAACAAATATATAAACTATATATAAGTACATATGTTTAGTTATATTCATCTGAATTACCCTAACCAAAACTTCCCATGTCTGTCTTACAAGTTTGCTTTTTGTTTTAGGAAACCTATGAAGAGCTGGATAGGAACAAATCTAAGCTTGAAGATGAAATACTCTTTCTAGAAAAAGAACTAGAAAATGAGAAATCTAAACATTCTGAACAAGATGAATTGGTAAGGCTTTTGAGTTTCAGGAGAATATAAGAGAAAGAACGTTTTGAGTTTTAAAAATTGATATGGTGTTAGTTAAAATATTACATACACTGTAAAAAAATGGAAAGAATATAAAAGGTTGTGAAGTAGAAAGCAAAATATTCGCTTTCTAGGATTATCCTAAGCATCATGCTTTTTTTTTTTCCTGAGACAGCGTCTCACTATGCATTTCACCTCCCGAGTGCTGAGCTTACAGGCCTGTGCTGCCCTGCCTGGCTCTCATGCATGTTCTTAAAGACATTTTCTTTATGTGCTGTAGAAATAACTCAAAGAATTTAAATTATCACATACTTAATTATGTATAGCAAGCATTATAACTGTCGTTTTATTTTAAAATCTGGCTTCAGGAAAATCTTGATGTGAGATCATTTAATAAGATGTGATATTGGTGACTTAGCTTGAACTTGTGTGAGTGCTAAGAAATATCAAAGTTAAGGTGAGGTAGTTATATAATTTTGGCATAAAATTGCTTTCTGCATATGATAAATTAACTGAGAAGTTGATTTGAGCCCTCATTAGTGAAACAAGATGCTAGGTTAGCAACATATTTATATATAGATTAGTTTTCTTATATTTCATATATATATATATATATATATATAAATAATAGACTTCTTATTTATTGATTGGTACTATCTTTGCAGAAGGCTGATGTTTCAGAAAAGATACAGGCTCTAGAAGATGAATCAAAATCCCTCAAGTCCCAAGTCGCTGAGGTAAGTTGGTGTAACGAGTCTATTACTTGTGAAAATCATTTAATTATTTTTATTATTAAGGAATAAGATACTATGTTAGGATTTGAGTATAGATCTTAGTTTTTTTTTTTTTTTTACATGAAGTACTTCAAAAAAGTTTTTATTTTCTCTGGGTAAATATTTATTGTTATTGTTATATACCAAACAGTGTTAAAGGAGCGTTAACTTAGCATTCATAGACAGGGCCCGTGGCATTCCACTTTCAAAAGTAAATAGTTAACAAAATTGTTTGTACAGTGTAGGAGGTTGTGAGTGGTAAAATCATTTGTCTAAGGTCACTTGGCAGTTGTTGACAGAGTGAGGAATTCACCGATTCAGCCTTTTTCTTCTATTCCTTGATGGCTTTGCTGTCAGTATTGGCACATATTGCCTGTGTTTAAATTTCACTTTTGAGGGAGAATGTAAATACGAACATTTATTAGATTAATTCTTATAAACTATAGTTTTTTTTTGTTTTGTTTTGTTTTTAAACTTAGGCCAAAACAACCTTCAAAATATTTCAAATCAATGAAGAGCGACTTAAGGGGGCAATAAAAGATGCAATGAACGAAAACTCTCAACTTCAAGAAAGCCAAAACCAGGTTTGTGCTCTGTACAGACTCTTTGATTGGTCCCAGCTAGGAATAAGAGTAAGCTTCTTTAAGCATGTGGAGCTTGTTGATTAGTGGATGTAACAAAATCAAAAGTTGTACTAGAAAGTGTCAGAAAGTTCTTAATTATATTGCCTGAAGTCAGTAAAATCTCAAATGAGTTCTCATTGTGATAACTAGCCTGTTCAAGAAAGCCACTGTAGTCCTTAAGGACCAGTGGCAGTATTGTAGAAAGTAGTTACTCTACCCCTTTTAGAATATATAGCCTCACTTCCCTTCCCTCCCCTCCCCTCCTTTCCCCTCTCCTCTTTGTTTTTTTTGAGACAGGTTCTTGCTATGTACTTCACACTAGTTTTTGAACTGACTGTAGCACAGGCTATCCTAGAATTCTTGGTGATCCTCTTGCCTCAGCCTCTTGTGTGCTGGGATTACAGGCCTGCACCACTACACCTGGCTGTGAGATTAGCAATTGAAAACGTAACCCTGCTGCATCCTATTCAAAGATTGGATTACAGTTTAAAACAGATTTTATTTTTTCTTCAGTTTTAGTTACCACTTGTAACCTCACAGTAAGTAATAGTCTTTAGCACCAGCTCCTCCACCAGACTGAAGGAAGTGCAGAGAAGACCAGTGAGGATAATTGAAGCCATCAGTCTGGAGCGTACGGTGGTAGAAATTTTGTTGGAAGTACAGATGTGGATTTAACTTCTGTTCTCCTTTCCTTTCATACCTAGAAGCTCCTACACATCTACATACGTTTCTTCCCTATTTTCTCAACAAAGTTTTTCAGTGATTTTTTTTTTTTTTTTTGCAGAACCGGGGATTGAACTCAGGCCCTTGCGCTTGCCAGGGAAGCGCGTATTCTACTGAACCATCTCCCCGGCCCCTAGTTTTTCAGTGATTGTATTATGATTCTCTTTGTAGTCAGTCTGAACCACGGGGTTTTCCTCTCATATATTCTTTTAGCCAACATTTTATCTTTCCTTTAGTTAGTAATTGTAACTGTAATTCACCTGTGCATTCTCTTTTAATAAGTGCCATATTCGTGCACGCTCATGCTTTGATTAATCTGTTAGTTTCATTGTTTTTGTTTACAGCATTTCTTCTTGGGATCATCTGTTCCCTTGGTCCAGACTTTGTTTTGTTGGTTTGTTAGGCTTCTGTTTTCCTGAGATTTTACTTCACTCCCATCCTGAGGATTCCATTGTATCTGCCCAACTTTTCTTTTTTTTTTTTTTCTTTTTCACTCCCCTCTCCTCCCTTCCTTTCTCTTTTTCTTTCTCTCAAAACAGAGTCTTGTTGTTCAGTTCAGCATGGCTTTGAGTTCACTGTGAGTAGCCCAGGCTGGCCTCAAATTCATGGTGGCCTTCCCACCTCGGCCTCCCACATGCTGGAATTGTAGGTGTGCACCACCATTTCTGGCTCCCATTCTTTCTCTTGGGCTCAATTTTTTTCTTGCATTTAAGATTTCCTCTTTTTTGGTTAATTCATGCTTGCAAATATCTTGTTTTTGTCTCATATTTATTGATATTTTAGTTGCACACCAGTTGGGTTGGATACCATTGGGTTGGAATTATATTCCCCCCACAACATTTTGACATTATTGTTCCAGTCTTCACTTTTCATTGTTACTTTTGGGAAGTCAAAGGCTATGCATGTTATAAATGTTTTTTTTGGCCAAACCGGGGATTGAACTCAGGCCCTTGCGCTTGCCAGGGAAGCGCTTATTCCACTGAGCCATTTCCCCGGCCCCCATGTTATAGAACTTTTTCTTTTTTTTTTTTTTTTTAACCCTATTTTTTTGTTCCCTGGAATCTTAGTATCTTAATTGTTTCCACTTCCTTAAAATTGCAAAAGGGTGTGCCTTGTTTGGTGTGTGTCTCTTTTTATACAGCAGGCTGGGTACTTTTATTCTGGAAACTCCTCTTGATTTAGTGCTGAGAAATGCACTTGAATGATTCCATACTTTAGAAGGATAATTTCTGAGATAATTGCTTGAAATGTCATTTTAAAAAAAAAATG